TAAATGTCACTATTGCTGTGTGAGGGTAACGCGTTATCGTGCTGGTAAGCAATGCCACCTGGTTGTTTGCTGGATAAATGTCACTATTGCTGTGTGAAGAGGCCTTGCGTTATCGTGCTGGTAAGCAATGCCACCTGGTTGTTGCTGGATAAATGTCACTATTGCTGTAGTGTGAGGCCTTGCGTTATCGTGCTGGTAAGCAATGCCACCTGGTTGTTGCTGGATAAATGTCAGTATTGCTGTGTGAGGCCTTGCGTTATCGTGCTGGTAGCAATGCCACCTGGTTGTTGCTGGATAAATGTCAGTATTGCTGTGTGAGGCCTTGCGTTATCGTGCTGGTAAGCGAAAATGCCACCTGGTTGTTGCTGGATAAATGTCAGTATTGCTGTGTGAGGCCTTGCGTTATCGTGCTGGTAAAGCAATGCCACCTGGTTGTTGCTGGATAAATCATCGAGTATTGCTGTGTGAGGGCCTTGCGTTATCGTGCTGGTAAGCAATGCCACCTGGTTGTTGCTGGATAAATGTCAGTATTATGTGTGAGGCCTTGCGTTATCGTGCTGGTAAGCAATGCCACCTGGTTGTTGCTGGATAAATGTCAGTATTGCTGTGTGAGGCCTTGCGTTATCGTGCTGGTAAGCAAATGCCACCTGGTTGTTGCTGGATAAATATCCGGTATTGCTGTGTGCGAGGCCTTGCGTTATCGTGCCGAGTAAGCAATGCCACCTGGTTGTTGCTGGATAAAATGTCAGTATTGCTGTGTGAGGCCTTGCGTTATCGTGCTGTGTAAGCAATGCCACCTGGTTGTTGCTGGATAAATGTCAGTATTGCTGTGTGAGGCCTTGCGTTATCGTGCTGGTAAGCAATGCCACTGGTTGTTGCTGGATAAATGTCGAGGTATTGCTGTGTGAGGCCTTGCGTTATCGTTGGCACGGTAAGCAATGCCACCTGGTTGTTGCTGGATAAAATGTCAGTATTGCTGTGTGAGGCCTTGCGTTATCATTAGGCGCTGGTAAGCAATGACACCTGGTTGTTGCTGGATAAATGTCAGTATTAAGGTGAGGCCTTGCGTGCTGAGGCCTTGCGTTATCGATGCTGGTAAACGGCAACTTGCTGTGTGAGGCCTTGCGTTGTTGCTGGATAAATGTCTGCTGTATTGCTGTGTGAGGCCTTGCGTTATCGTGCTGGCCAAACCATGACCCTGGTTGTTGCTGGATAAATGTCAGTATTGCTGTGTGAGGCCTTGCGTTATCGTGCTGGTAAGCAATGACACCTGGTTGTTGCTGGATAAATGTCAGTATTGCTGTGTGAGGCCTTGCGTTATCGTGCTGGTAAGCAATGACACCTGGTTGTTGCTGGATAAATGTCAGTATTGTTGTGTGAGGCCTTGCGTTATAATAATAATAATAATAATAATAATAATGGATATTTTTAGCGCGCCATTTTCCACCCACTGATACATGCTCAAGGCGCTACATAAAAGCATACATACAATGCATACAGAGGATAAAATAGCAAAATAAGTATACATTGAAATTGATGACAGAAAGATTGATTTTAGGGATAGGTTTTGGAAAAAAAGAAAGTCTTCAACTTAATTTTGAAAGTTTCCAATGTGCATGACTGCTTTATGTGGAGGGAGAATTCCACAGAGTAGGACCAATACTGGAAAGATCTCTTGCCAAACGAAAAGAAAGGAGAACTTTCGGAGGGAGAGAAGACATTGGTCTTGAGATCTGAAGAGTTCTGGTAGAGAATTACACAGTGAGAAGTTCAGAGAGATATGAAAGAGCTTGATTATTATCATTTATACACAATGCAAAGAAGTTTGAAGTCAATCCGGAACTTGATTGGAAGCCAGTGTAATGATGAGGAGTACAGGGGTGATATGGTCTCGTTTGAGTGGTAAAGGATATAATACGTGCTGCTGTATTTTGGACTTTTGTAGTTTATTAGAGATGTCCGTTGGTGAGTCCGTATAGAAGGCTATTACAGTAGAATCCAATCTGGATGTTACAAGGCATCTCACAAGAGTGTGGGCACTTTCCATTTGTGATGCGCTTCCTAATCGTCCCAATGAGTCTGAGGTGGTAATAGCAGGTGCTGACACAACTTATCCACATGCGAATCTAGAGACAGGCCCGAATCAATATAAGCGCAAGATCTTTTATCAAAGCTGACGGTGTGATGTTAGCTGAACCAATCTTCACACTATCGATGTTCCAGGAATTTCCCCAAAGCTCTTTGGTTTCCCAACAAGGAGAACCTCATTTTGAGTGTCATTCAGTTTTAGTTTTCTGCTTGCGTCATCCCATGTCTTGAAGTTTCCAGAGTACAATTCTCAATCTCTTTCCAACGCTGATTGGGCATTATTTGAGTTCTGAACTTTGTCAGGAGTTGGTTGTCATCTGCATAGGGGAAAGAGTGTGTAAATTCAAAAAATTTGTCACTGATCAGAGAGAGTTGGTTGATGTAAATCAGGAAGAGCACTGGGCCTAGAACAGATCCCTGTGGAACTCCACGCTGACAGAGTAATCTTCTGTGAATGCTGCCCGACACTGTTGACTGACTGGTGTCTTAGCAGACAGGTATGAAGAGAACCAGGCCAGTGCTTGTCCGCCGATTCAGAGTGATGTTCAAGAGTTTGGAGAAGAATTTTGTGGTTCACAGTGTCAAATGCAGCACTCCAGATCTAAGAAGTGTCAGAATTGCCACGTCACCTCTATCAACTTAGGCATCTTAGGTCATTTACCACTCTTAGAAGGAGAGTTTCGGTAGAGAGTGGTGTGGACGGTAAATAGATTGGTACTAAATCTAAGATGCTGTTGCTTGACAAGTGAATCCATCAACCTCTTGTTGTAGGCTGCATCTCTCGATAAGTTTGGGTAGAAAAGTCAGATTAGAAACAGGGCGGTAGTTTTAAGGTCATTTTTGTCCAAGTTTTGCATTTTAACTAGTGTGGCATGATAACAGCATCTTTTAGCATGTGTGGAAAGATCCCAGATGACAGACTCTTGTTGATGATTTCCGTTAATGTCGGCAGAAACAGATTTAGGTGCTCAATCAGAAGATAAGTTGGTATAGAGCGTTGAGACAGGTGGTCTTGTTGGACGACATGACGAGAGATCTTACTTCCTGCTGGTAAGGCTTGGAACTGGAGGAGATAGTTTCCTGGAAATCAGGTATGGTAAAGAATGTCCTTTCAGTAAAATTCTGAAGCAACTTCCTGATGTCTTCATTCTTGTTCTTGGAAAATGAGTTAAAGAGATGAGCCAACTCAGATAGATTCTTTCCTTGAGGAAGTACAACAGTCTCCTTTTTGCCCATTAGCGAGCCCAGGAACTTGTGCAAGGTTTTTGGTTTGCAGGTAGAGTCTAAAATCTATTTGTTTGCAATAAAGACGTTTGGATTCCCGAATAACTTTACAGACCATATTCCTCGCAGCTTTATAAATTTGACGATCTACTTCTAAACGAGATTTCCGCCATTTTCTCTCAGCACGTCTTCGTACACACTTGGTGTGATGAACAGAGTCGTTGTACCAAGGACAATCGGAACGCTGAATGAAAGTTCTTTCCTTAATAGGAGCATGTTTGTCGAGTAAATCCCGAAGAACAGTGTTATACTGATGAGTCAAGCTTTCAACATTTGACTCAGGGTGTGCTATGAGGTCAGATATTAACAAGTCACCACAGAATTCGATCTTATCTATCTTTTTGAGATTGCGACAGGTCTTCGTGATCTTATTATTCCCAGATCTCTGCACATTGAGTGACATATTGATCATTGAGTGATCTGACACCAGTTTATCTTAAGCACTGCCACCTGGTTGTTGCTGGATAAATGTCAGTATTGTTGTGTGAGGCCTTGCGTTATCGTGTTGGTAAGCAATGCCACCTGGTTGTTGCTGGATAAATGTCAGTATTGCTGTGTGAGGCCTTGCGTTATCGTGTTGGTAAGCAATGCCACCTGGTTGTTGCTGGATAAATGTCAGTATTGCTGTGTGAGGCCTTGCGTTATCGTGCTGGTAAGCAATGCCACCTGGTTGTTGCTGGATAAATGTCAGTATTGCTGTGTGAGGCCTTGCGTTATCGTGTTGGTAAGCAATGCCACCTGGTTGTTGCTGGATAAATGTCAGTATTGCTGTGTGAGGCCTTGCGTTATCGTGTTGGTAAGCAATGCCACCTGGTTGTTGCTGGATAAATGGCATCGCAAATGGCAGCAAAACTTCATCCCTGTATCTTCGAGCATTCAGGTCGCCATGAATAATCAAAGGTCTTGTACTGAAAAACCGCACACCATCACGCTACCGGCTCCAGACGTATTGCACGTTTGTCTTACTCGTTGCATCAGTCTGATGACCGTTGCTCGGGTGCAGCCGAAGGTTCTGGCAATGAACGTGTGGTTAGCTCCTTGTTGGGCCATTCCGACAGCTCTCTCTTTCGATTTGCCTCAAACGTGGCATATCTTTTTATGTTCATTTTACAACTGTGTTGTTCAAGTGTCGCGTAGACTGTTTTATACCGTCCGTATGGCGTGTTACATCAGAATTTTGGCAACGTTCAGGCGATTCGTTAACTTGTTTCGCCGTTTGTTCTCGGAACGGATGGGTCTGTACGTGTGTGTCTGTGTGTGTCTGTGTGTGTCTGTGCTGAGTATGGTTTTATCACTTCATTTTTATTTTTGTGAATCTTTATGTAATATTTGGGGGTGTAGTTTCGTTTGAGCACTAGTCTATTTGAAAGATTAGGGGTGTGTGTGTGTGTGTGTTTAATGAACAATGAATGCTATTTGAGTATTATTGCTTTATAAGCATTCTGATGACAACTTCAACGGATTATAATCAATGCTTAAAAATTCTTTAATATCTTCATGGTAAGTGCGAAGTGGTGAACAACGGAAAGACTCTTACATGTGTACTCACAATATGAATCATACGTTGACGTGCTATGGTAGACTGTAGACAAGGTGTCCACTCAGCCAATCGTGTATTCTGTTCACAGCCGCTGTCTGGCGACGCCAGCATCAACGTACTGAGGACCATCAGACGTCTCAAGACAATACAGAGAAGAAGCATGGACCACCCGTCTCAAACACTCAAACAGAGGAAGGCCACGGACGGTGGGTGTAGGTGTAAGAGCGGGCTTGAGTATGGGTGTGGGTGTAAGAGCGGGCGTGAGTATGGGTGAAGGTGTGGGTGTAAGAGCGGGCGTGAGTATGGGTGTGGGTGTGGGTGTAAGAGCGGGCGTGAGTATGGGTATGGGTGTAGGTGTAAGAGCGGGCGTGAGTATGGGTATGGGTGTGGGTGTAAGAGTGGGCGTGAGTATGGGTGTGGGTGTGGGTGTAAGAGCGGGCGTGAGTATGGGTGTGGGTGTGGGTGTAAGAGCGGGCGTGAGTATGGGTATGGGTGTGGGTGTAACAGCGGGCGTGAGTATGGGTATGGGTATGGGTGTGGGTGCAAGATCGGGCGTGAGTATGGGTATGGGTATGGGTGTGGGTGTAAGAGCGGGCGTGAGTATGGGCATGGGTATGGGTGTGAGTGTAAGAGCGGGCGTGAGTATGGGTATGGGTATGGGTGTGGGTGTAAGAACGGGCGTGAGTATGGGTATGGGTGTGGGTGTAAGAGCGGGCGTGAGTATGGGTATGGGTGTGGGTGTAAGATCTGGCGTGAGTATGGGTATGGGTATGGGTATGGGTGTGGGTGTAAGAGCGGGCGTGTGTATGGTTATGGGTGTGGGTGTGGGTGTAAGAGCGGGCGTGAGTATGGGTGTGGGTGTGGGTGTAAGAGCGGGCGTGAGTATGGGTATGGGTGTGGGTGTAGAGCGGGCGTGAGTAAGGGTATGGGTGTAGGTGAGAGCCGGGGGTGGTATGGTTATGGGTGTGGGTGTGGGTGTAAGAGCGGGCGTGAGTATGGATGTGGGTGTAAGAGCGGGCGTGAGTATGGGTATGGGTATTGGTGTGGGTGTAAGAGCGGGCGTGAGTATGGGTATGGGTGTGGGTGTGGGTGTAAGAGCGGGCGTGAGTATGGATGTGGGTGTAAGAACGGGCGTGAGTATGGGTATGGGTGTTGGTGTAAGAGCGGGCGTGAGTGTGGGCGTTAGTATGAGTGTGAGCGTGAGAGTGAGAGTGTGTGTGAGTCTAATTGTGGGCGTGGGCGTGCGCGTGAGTGTAGGTGGGTGTAGGTGCGCTGGTGGGTGTTAGAGTGGGTGTGAGCCTAAATGTCAGTGTGTCGTGGGTGTTCGTGTGGGCTTGGGTGGTGTGAGTGTGGGTAGTGTTCTGGGTGGTGGTGGGTTGGAGAACAAAAATGGCAGTAATGTTCTAAACAAACCATGATAGTGTTGATAGTAGATTGACCTAAACTATAACACTGATCAGTCCAATACCATTAGTCCCCTACCACCAATCCCCTACCATCAGTCCCCCACCACCCGTCCCCTTTCAACTATCCCCCAACCATCAGTCCCCTACCATCAGTCCCCTACCACCAGTCCCCAACCATCAGTCCCCTTCAACTGTCCCCGACCATCAGACCCCTACCATCAGTCCCCCACCATCAGTCCGCTACCATCAGTCCCCCACCATCAGTCCGCTACCATCAGTCCTCCACCATCAGTCCCCTACCATCCGTCCCCTATCAAATGTCCCCCAGCATCTGTCCCCTACCATCATTCCCCTGCCATCGGTTCTCTATCACCAGTCCCCTACCATCAGTCCCCTACATCCGTCCCCTATCAACTGTCCCTTACCATCAGTCCGCTACCATCGGTACCTTACAATCAGTCCCCTACTATCAGTCCCCTACCATCTGTCCCCGTCAGTCCCCCACTGTCAGTCCCCACCACCAGTCCCCTACCACCAGTCCCTACCATCAGTCCTCTATCATCAGTCCCCCCTACCACCAGTCCCCTACCATCAGTCCTCTATCATCAGTCCCCTACATCCGTCCCCTATCAACTGTCCCCAACCATCAGTCCCCAACCATCAGTCCCCTACCATTTGTCCCCTACCACCAGTCCCCTACCATCAGTCCCCTACAACCAGTCCCCTACCACCAGTCCCCTGCCATCAGTCCCCTACCATCAGTCCCTCTAATCATCAGTCCCCTACCATCAGCCCCTACAATCAGTCCGCTACCATCGGTACCCTACCAACTGTCCCTACCAGCTGTCCCCTACCATCCGTCACATCAACTGTCCCCCACCATCAGGTCCCCACCATCTGTCACCTACCATCAGTCCCCACCATCAGTCCCTACCATCAGTCCGCTACCATCAGTCCCCCCACCATCAGTCCCCCACCATCAGTCCGCTACCATCTGTCACCTATAAGTTGTCCCCTCCTGTCAGCTGACGTATCTAAGACTGGTGTTTCGGGCCTCTTGACGTGCAACTCCTGTTCCTTCTCTACCATCCGTCCCCCACCATCAGTCCTCTATCATCAGTCCCCTACCATCAGCCCCCTACAATCAGTCCGCTACCATTGGTACCCTACCAACTGTCCCCTACCATCCGTCCCCATCAACTGTCCCCCACCATCAGTCCCCCACCATCTGTCACCTACCATCAGTCCCCACCATCAGTCCCTACCATCAGTCCCCTACCATCAGTCCCCACCATCAGTCCCCACCATCAGTCCCTACCATCAGTCCCCTACATCCGTCCCTATCAACTGTCCCTTACCATCAGTCCGCTACCATCGGTACCTCACAATCAGTCCCCTACTATCAGTCCCCTACCATCTGTCCCCCACCATCAGTCCCCCACCATCAGTCCCCTACCATCTGTCACCTATAAGTTGTCCCCTCCTGTCAGCTGACGTGTCTAAGACTGGTGTTTCGGGCCTCTTGACGTGCAACTCCTGTTCCTTCTCTACCATCCGTCCCCCACCATCAGTCCCCTACATCTGTCACCTATAAGTTGTCCCCTCCTGTCAGCTGACGTGTCTAAGACTGGTGTTTCAGGCCTCTTGACGTGCAACTCCTGTTCCTTCTCTACCATCCGTCCCCCACCATCAGTCCGCTACCATCTGTCCCCCCACCATCAGTCCCCTACCATCAGACCCCCACCATCTGTCCCCACCATCAGACCCCCCTACCATCAGTCCCCACCATCAGTCCGCTACAATCAGTCCGCTACCATCTGTCCCCCACCATCAGTCCGCTGCCATCTGTCCCCCACCATCCGTCCCCCCACCATCAGACCCCACCATCAGTCGCTACCATCTGTCCCCCACCATCAGACCCCCACCATCAGTCCCCCACCATCAGTCCGCTACCATCTGTCCCCACCATCAGACCCCCACCATCCGTCCCCCACCATCAGACCCCCACCATCAGTCCGCTACCATCTGTCCCCACCATCAGACCCCCACCATCAGTCCGCTACCATCTGTCCCCCACCATCAGGACCCCACCATCAGTCCCCACCATCAGTCCGCTACCATCAGTCCCCCACCATCAGTCCCCCACCATCAGTCAGCTACCATCTGTCCCCCACCATCAGTCCCTACCATCAGACCCCCACCATCTGTCTCCCTACATCAGTCCCCACCATCAGTCCCCTACCATCTGTCACCTATAATTTGTCCCTTCCTGTCAGCTGACGTGTCTAAGACTGGTGTTACAGGCATCTTGACGTGCAACTCCTGTTCCTTCTCCAGCGAAACCAACAACTGTGTGTACGTGGATGAAGTGTGTGCCCCCGGGGTGAGTACAAGGGGTGCGATATGCCACACCCTACTACCACGTTTAGGAACGGAGTAGTTGCTGTATTAACGCCGACCAGTACTTGTATTGTCAGGTCAACCTGCAGCCACCTCATTAGTCGCTGTACCTACCCTATGTTTTTCCGTGTAAACTGCTTAACTGAAAGTATACACCAGTGTCCGATGGTGACTCGAAATGGAAGAAACAAGGAGCACATACGAGTTGGTGATGTAATGATAAGATATCCTAGTTTGCGACTTAACCTTGCAGTGTTACTGTTTTCTGTCAAGTAACCCAGACCAAAAAACGGGGCGGTGGGGTACCCAAGTGGTTAAAGCTTTCGTTCGTCACACCGAAGAACCGGGTTCGCTTTCCCACATGGTGTGTGAGGCCCATATCTGGTGTCCACCGTCGTGATATTGCTGGAATATTGCTAAAAGCGGCGTAAAACCACACTCTTTCACGCAGACCAAAATCAAGTGCATGTGTTCTTCTACCCACTAACGCGAATTCTTTTCCCCACAGCAAATCTGCGCAGACATCTGGCGCATTGAGGGCAGAAACAGGAACTATAATGGTTGCATCAACCCTAAACTGTGTGCCATGATCAAAGAGGCCAAGGACACCTCGTACGTGATGGTGTCTTGCTGCCTTACCGATCTCTGTAACTGGTAAAGAAGACTGCCACACACTCCCTTGCACAGTAGAGTAATGGTCGGTGGTGTAGGCGAAATGTTTTACAGCACTGTCGATTATAGACGGTGTCTTCGATCCTTTTAAATGTTTTATGCGTCATGTGATGGTGAGCATTATACAAATACCAGTGTAGCTATAGACATACGTCAAGTAAACTTGGGATACCTGGCCATTTATGACGTTACTATTGGGATACCTGGTCACGTTGGGCGTTCCTATTGGGATACTTGGCCATGTATGATGTCACTATTGGGATACCTGATCACGATGGGCGTTCCTATTGGGTTACTAGTGTATGATGTCACTATTGGGTTACTTGGCCATGTATGATGTCACTATTGGGATACCTGGCCATGTATGATGTCACTATTGGGTTACCTAGCAACATATGACGTGACTATTGGGGTACCTGGTCATGTTTGACGTTGATGTTTCCAGTTATACATATTGCCCATATAACTATATATTTAATCTGCTACCAATATGTAATGATATTTTATCTCAGTCAACTGGTTAATCTAGAACAGCGCTGGCTGAAAAATATAACTGGAAGTATAAAGACGATTCATGTATTTCGTCACATTGAAATGTACATCCAGATGATCATATTCTAGCGAGATTATTGTTTTCTTGTTGAAATATTAAATTACTTCTCTTAATACGTGTTCTGTTGTGTCAACATCACTAGACAGACCGGTTCCCCTTTATGTATACACGAGATATCAACAGCCGCTATCTCTCTTCATTACATATGGAAACAAGGTAGATCGGAAACATTTTTCATGTTTCACATACAACTTTGTCAGTGTTGACAGACATTCAATTATCAACTGTCCCCCTGCTACCTTCATTCATGAAATTAAATAATTACAATAAAACAGACATCTACAATCGATACACCCACCTGTAGCCCTCGTGGAGTACACGATACCCTGACTTTCATACATCCACCTGTAGGCCTCGTGACATACACCCTACCCTGACTTGCATACATCCACATGTTCGCCACGTGGCATACACCCTACCCTGACTTGCATACACTCACCTGTTGACCTTGTGGCACACACCCTACCCTGACTTGCATACATCAACCTGTAGCCCTCGTGGTATACACGATACCCTGACTTGCATACACTCACCTGTTGACCTTGTGGCACACACCCTACCCTGACTTGCATACATCCACCTGTAGTCCTCGTGGTATACACGATACCCTGACTTGCATACACCCACCAGTAGACCTTGTGGCACACACCCTACCCCGACTTGCATACACCTACATTTTGTCCTATACTCCCAGTAGTGATCCGAAGCAGCCCTGTCGGTCAGGGCCACATCTAAGGGGGAAATGTAAATATCTACCAAAAGTTCTAAGGGTGTGTTTGCTGGTTAGATGACACTGTGTATTCAACTCAATGTAGAGTTGCCCTCATAGAACACATCTTAAAAGAACTTACATATACCTCACGACACTTCTGACGGTCTATACGCTGGTTAAAGACTACATATCCAGGTTATCCTGGTGAATACACCCTATCAGAAAATACCTTCAACAAGCCAAATGCCGGATAAACATACATGCGGCCTACTTATAGCTAGGTTTGGGAAAAACAAGCACTTACAAATCTATTCATATCTGAATTTGCATCACGATTAAGTATAATCATGAACAAGAATGGTATGTGCAAATTGTAATAGTGCTGAAATCTGTACCCATGCTTTATTCAGATCGAATGCCTGTTTGGAACCATATCTTCTAAATTTGATATTGATAAATGTCGTACTGTACGTTCCCGTTACCACTGTAGTCATACACAACTGAAGTTGGCAGATGTACTAAACCAGGAGATCTAAGACGCTTTCACCTGTGTAACCCAGGTTCTACTGCCAACCAATATCATTGTCTGTTAATCTGTAAATTGTAAAATAATCTTAGGCATGAATACATACAAAGAAAATATTAAACAAATCCTACATTAAATATCACGGCATTCCATTTACATCACGGAATTCCAGTTATATCACGGCATTCTGTAACAAAGTAAGAGACAACACCAGAAGTACAAGGAGATGGATGTTTTATTCAGAGGAGGACGTCAGTCGCATCATAAGCCCAGAGTGGCTATCAGGACCAGGTCTGCTCCACTGGGGAAGAATGTTCCTGCGTCCAAGCTGGCGGAGGTGTGCACTCGACAGCTGCTGAGACTGTGTCTGTCTGTCTGGGGTCTGTGCTGAGACTGTGTCTGAGGGGGAATGACCCTGCCTCCAAGCTGGAGGAGGAGTACACTCGTCTGTTCCTGAGACTGTCTCTCTCTGCGTCCCTGCTGAGACTGTGTCTGAGGGGGGGAATGTCCCTGCCTCCAAACTGGAGGAGGAGTACACTCGGCTGTTACTGTGACTGTCTCTCCCTGCGTCCCTGCTGAGACTGTGTCTGAGGGGGGAATGTCCCTGCCTCCAAACAGGAAGAGGAGTACACTCGGCTGTTGCTGAGACTGTCTCGGAGGCTGTGTCTGTCTATCTGGGGTCTGCTTAAAGTTCGGAGTCCTGGGTTTAGATATGCTTCATGTGCCCTTGACTGGTCAACAAGGGGTCAGGCATAAGTCATCGTTTCTCCCCAGTTATCTTGTGGTCACTCGGTGGGTACACAACTTGATTGTCGCCCTATCTCTGACCGCTGTTATCACTGCGTTCAAAGGGGGTCTTCTGCTTGTTCTGTGTTTTAAGAGGATACTCAAGAACCCTTTCAAGAGCCCATCCCCGGTCATGATGTGGTCACTCGGTGGGTAAACAACTTGTTTGCTTTCCTGTCCCTGACCGCTGCTATCACTGACCACATGGTCCGCTGAGCTGACTTTGTTACATTCGTTATATCACGGCATTCCAGTTATATCACAACATTCCAGTTATATATCACGGCATTCCAGTTATATATCACGGCATTCCAGTTATATATCACGGCATTCCAGTTATATCACAACATTCCAGTTATGTCACAACATTCCAGTTACTAGTATATATCACGACATTCCAGTTATATCACGGCATGTCAGTTATATATCACGGCATTCCAGTTATATACCACGACATTCCAGTTATATCACAACATTCCAGTTATATCACAACATTCCAGTTATATACCACGGCATTCCAGTTATATACCACGACATTCCAGTTATATCACAACATTCCAGTTATATCACAACATTCCAGTTATATATCACGGCATTCCAGTTATATATCACGACATTCCAGTTATACCACAACATTCCAGTTATGTCACAACATTCCAGTTACTAGTATATCACAACATTCCAGTTATGTCACAACATTCCAGTTACATCACGGCATTCCAGTTATATACCACGGCATTCCAGTTATATCACGGCATGTCAGTTATATATCACGGCATTCCAGTTATATCACGGCATGTCAGTTATATATCACGGCATTCCAGTTACATCACGGCATGTCAGTTATATATCACGGCATTCCAGTTATATCACGGCATGTCAGTTATATAACCGGGATTCCAGTTATTTCACGGCATGTCAGTTATATATCACGGCATTCCAGTTATATCACAACATTCCAGTTATGTCACAACTTTCCAGTTACTAGTATATCACGACATTCCAGTTATATCACGACATGTCCGTTATATATCACGGCATTCAAGTTATGTCACAACATTCAAGTTACATCACGGCATTCCAGTTATATCACAACATTCCCGTTACATCACGGCATTCCAGTTATATCACGGCATACCAGTTATATATCACGGCATTCCAGTTATATCACGGCATGTCAGTTATATATCACAACATTCCAGTTATATCACGGCATGTCAGTTATATATCACGGCATTCCAGTTATATATCACGGCATTCCAGTTATATCACGGCATGTCAACTATATATCACGGCATTCCAGTTATATCACGGCATACCAGTTTTATCACGGCACTCTAGATATATCACGGCATGTCAGTTATATATCACGGCATTCCAGTTATATCACAGCAATCGAGTTATACCACGGCATTCCAGTTATATCACGATATTTCAGTTATATATCACGGCATTCCAGTTATATCACGGCATACCAGTTATATATCACGGCATTCCAGCTATATCACGGCATTCCAGCTATATCACAACATTCCAGTTATATATCACGGCATACCAGTTATATCACAACATTCCAGATATATCACGGCATGTCAGTTATATATCACGCGTTCCAGTTATATCACGGCATTCCAGTTATATCACGGCATTCCAGATATATCACGGCATGTCAGTTATATATCACGGCATGTCAGTTATATATCACGGCATTCCAGTTATATCACTGCAATCGAGTTATACCACGGCATTCCAGTTATATCACGACATTCCAGTTATATCACGACATTTCAGTTACATCACGGCATTCCCAGTTATATCAGGGCACTCCATTTATACCACGGCATTCCAGTCACATCACGGCATTCCAGTTATTTCACGGCATTCCAGTTACATCACGGCATGTCAGTTATATCACGACATTCCAGTTTTATCAGGACATTCCAGTTATATCACGGCATTCCTGTTATATTACGCACGGCACTTCAGTTATATCACGGTATTCTAGTTATATCACGACATTCCAGTTATATCACAGCCTGTCAGCTTAATGAGGGAGAAAGGCTCAGGTCTCAACCGATTACCACTTGGGTGAAGCCTGCGGACACCGGCATGTCGCTGACAAATCAAGCCACATAATCCGGTCGAACCCGGATTCGAACAGGCCATAACAGGTGCCTCGTGTTCACAATAGACGCAACTCTGCAGATCAAATTGCATATCGGTTTTTATTATATAGGTAGTATTTTTCCTGTACCACGATTGGTCAAGAGACCGTCACATGATTGACTACAAAACACGATATTGACTTGAGTTTTCTGATAAATTACGATATTGACTTGGGTTACTCAAAATAGACAAGGAATCCCGTACGAAGGGGCTTCCCCCGCTTTTCAGCCAATCAGATCACTCGGATAGATGGCACAATGTGTGCATTAAAAGTTTATGTTAAAACCCGTTTCTCTTTCATTATATAATAAAACAATTATAGACTATTGTAGAGGTCGATATCGGTTTTTACTGACCTGAGAAAAACCGATATCGACCTCTACAAGAGTCTATAATTGTATAATGTCATGTCACGGTGTGCAGTCAGCTAGGATACAAGTCTGGTGTGATGCAGGTGTAAGATGTGGCGCAGGGAAACCAATGATCATTCTCCTGGTATCAAACCCACGTTAAACGGAACTTTGTCGGTCAAGCTGACTCTTACAGCAAACCGCTCTTAGTGAATATAACTCGGCGAAAAGAGTTTCGGGAATTTTAACATAAAAAGTATCTGTAATAATGTAATCCATGCTTGTCGTAAGAGGCGACTAACGGGATCGGGTGGTCAGGCTCGCTGACTTGGTTGACACATGTCATCACACCCACATTGCATAGGTCGGTGCTCATGATGTTGATCATTGGATTGTCTGGTCCAGACTCGATTATTTACAGACCGCCGCCGTATAGCTGGAATATTGCGGCGTAAAACTAAATTCACTCAAATGCATATTGGTGGTACATACTGAACATGTAAAAAATTGGCATGAAGAGTACATGGTATATGATCAACTGTTTCTCAGGTCTACGTGTTTAATCACTTTAGTAATGTGTTATAGCAGGTCGTAAAGGTCGCCTACATCGCCTACGTCCGACCTTTCCTCAGACTTTGTCCCGTTCCCTCATGTAGCATATGTCGGAATCTTACATAAGGTAGTATAACTGTTATTGTGAAAGATGTGTTAATATGGTATGTGTTTATCAGTCATGCTCACTCCTCATTAAACCTCATAACTGTTTACAAAACATTTGACGTCAGTTAGTCAACATACATACTGCGGAGATGAAATGTTGTTGCAGTATATAAATCACCTTTTCGGATTTATTGTTAACAGCAAAGAAGATTATTAAAATTTGGGTGAAAATCGTCTTTTGAAAACAGTATTCAACATTGTCGACATAGTGTTTCTTCAGCCCTATCAAATGAAGTGTATAGTATTTCCCTATTTGTGCGTCTAAATCAGCAACACACTACTTGGATTACTTGCCTATTTCTCCTCCCCTCGTTCCATATAAAATATACAGAATAACAAATGCAATTTGACGGCTCGAACTTGTCTCGTCAGATTCCAAGTTGTTACTAGACCTATAACCGCTTTAGCGTAGTTGCTTCCCTTTAGTGATCATGTGACCAATGAACCTCGATATCATTAGAGTCAATATGGCCGCATTTCCTTTTCAGCTCATAGGATTGTTACTCCCAAACATGTAATGAGAATAACAACAAGTGCAAGCACATTTCATTGAACGATGGCTCACCATGAACTTGTCGACAGTATTCCTGCGTTCGAAGAGGATTATCGGCATTCTGCAGTGCACAATATGGATCCTATTGACTTTATCAATGACGATGAACCACTGGATTCGTTATTTTTTCACCGGGTGGATTCTGACCAGATTATATATGAACCTCGACGCAGACGAGCCAAGTTGATAGACAAATACCTCATGGGAGACATGCTTGGGGAAGGGTCGTACGGGAAAGTAAAAGAAGTGCTTGACACACACACACTATGTAGGAGGGCTGTGAAAATCTTTAAGAAGAAGAAATTACGGAAAATCCCGAACGGGGAGCAGAATGTGCAGAGGTAAAGTATATTGACAGCTTCGGTGGCACGAGTTATTCAGTCAGATTCATAATTATAATAATTGTTGGTTTTTATCCGAGGTACTTGTAGCTGAAAATTGTTCAGTGACCCAAAGATGACAGTTCCATCGTAACATGGATCGTACATGTGTTGTTTCGTTGGTTATTTGTCTAGGGTTGTCTTTTATTGTAAACACTGCACACACCACATAATTGTGGCCTGTCACTAATAAGGTCTTGACCGAAACATCCTGTGTTTGACATTATAGGCATTAAATAATCATATAATCATAATTATCCCATTAGTCACCTGTAACAATAAGAGTGGATTGCCGAAGACCACATTTTAACATTTATTTTTGTTCAAGTGTTGTAATAGGTGACGCTTTTGAAGCCCTACCATGTAGAAAAACCCAACACTAACATAGCAAGTTCATATATTAACTGTAATAAAGATATAAAAAAAAAAAGAGGAAAGATATAGAAAATATCAAATACCTACAGTACAGGTAGTGAATTGTACAGTACTAAATGCTGCTGCTGCTCAACATATAAACATCAACGAGTGATCAATGCAGGGTGAATCAGTTTCCTTTACAGTGATGTGCCTGCTACATACTCATTTTTCTATCAGCGGGCTTAACAGTAGAAAACGCCAACCCTGTAGGAATTAACATAGAAGTCACTGAATTGCTGTTAGGTTGCTGATTCAGTAGCTGCCTATCTTCACTTTAATACTAAATAAACACAAATTTTATATCATTGGTCATAAAATCTCCCTCCTGGCATTGAAGCACATAGACATGTGATAATATTTTCTGAGAAAGGTTAAATTGATCCATCCATGCCTACATCATGTACATTTACTACATTAACCCTTTCCCAACAGGTTAAGATCTGAATGTATTGGTATCATGTTTTAGACACCCATTGTGAACAAGGATGTACCACATCCAACATCAGAACAGCTCAAGACATGAGAGACACATTATCTAAATCATCTTAGGGTCATCTTAATTAATTACTTACATATGGCTGGAACATTACTATTATTTATCGATAAGATGTTGAGTATGTACCTCTGAAACTTACAGCTTAATTAGGATTATATTGAACATAGAAAATATCTATAAGTATATGTCAGATCATGCAAATACAATGTATTTATTTAAGTCAGACAGCTGAAAGTAGCTTCTGTATGTGGCATGAAATAGAGAGAAAACAAGAATATTATACATAATTAAGTCTTGTTAATTTTCGTAGCACTTTGAGCAAGATATTCATTCTGGAATGGCGCTATATAAGTGGACTATTATTAGTATTAGAATTGTAGATTTGTGTTTTGAAGTTAGAAATATGTGTTTCAGAGAAATCATGCTTTTACGACGACTTCATCACAAAAAACATCATTGGTCTGGTGGATGTGTTACAGAATGAAGAAAAACAGAAACTGTATGTATATCATGTGTTTTGTATATATATACATATATTGTTGGCATTCATGTAATAATCATAACCATATGGCTTTACCTAAATAGGGATTCAGCTTATCTGAAAACTTTTGCTAGTTCTTATCATTCATAGTGAACACTATATTAACATCTAAGGATATGCATACTTGAGAGTTGTTGGTTTCTTTAAACTGTTGAGAACGCCTGACTGTCATTACCCAAAGAAGTATCATAAAATGTTGCTTCATGCTGAAAGTTTAGATATACTTAACTTATATTGTTTTGTTGTTTAGTTTGCATTTTGGTTATATTTGGGAAAATCATGTCTTTACTTATGTCATGTCTATAGTATATTAATGAACTGGATTGATGTGATAAACGGCATTAAATGTTCGACATATATATATGTAATGTTTTGGCTCAGAAATGTATGTATGCAAAACTAAAGGTAAATTGTCTCCCGAAGAACATTGTGTCTTCACGTAAATTCAACATAGTTATGTCCAGTAATTAAGCAGTTAGCAATGTACATTTACCATATTGTCATTATGCAGTGTTTGCCATGATGCAGAAAACCTACATATTTGATGCACAAATTATCTCAAATGCACAGTGAATTTAGAAGCTTGCGTGATTGTTGATGCAATGCTAGTGGGCCCTTCTAAACCTAAATGTTTGCCAGTTAACTGGTTCAGTGCTGATTCAATACCTGACCTGCCTTACCTTGTTTTATGTTGTTCTTATACAATCGCAGTTGATGTCTTGCTGAAAGTTCCTAACTGAAGTTGACTCCCCAAAACATGTCCGTGACTCCCTCTAATGACACCGGGGAGTCTTGATGACTCCTACATTTTTATGCCTTGGGCATACACTGATTATGTCCTGTGTTGTTGTCATGATGTGTACATCATGCCATTGATAGTACTGCCGCAAATGTTACCATGTGTTCCTTTCCTACATTTACTAGAAATAACTACACCAAAGGACACAACCTAAAAGAGACAGAAAATCATCTATCCCTTTGGTAGTGTGAGAAAACCTTCAATATGTGAGCAAGTTGGGACATTGTTGGGAAGGCTCATGATAGTCATGTTAACCTAAACATCAGCAACGAGCAGCAAGTTGGGACATTGTTGTGATACATAGTGTGAGAAAATCTTCAATATGTGAGTGAGTGAATTTAGTTTTAAGCCTCACTCAGCAATATTCCAGCTATATGGCGGCGATCTGTAAAGAATCAAGTCCGGACCAGACAATCCAATGATCAACAGCATGAGCATCGATCTGCGCAATTGGGAACCGATGACATGTGTCAACCAAGTGAGCGAGCTTGACCACCCCGATCCCGTTAATCGCCTCTTAAGACAAGCATGGGTTACTGAAGATCAATATTCTAACCCGGACCTTCATGGGTCCCTTCAATATGTGTAACATTAAGTATACAGGTGCAGACTAGTGTGCCAGAGTGAAGTGTAATCTATGCCTTAATCATGTTCATGAATCATGCACATCAACATGATCTACAGGTGGGATCATGCCAGCTTTTGAGAACAAGAAAAAGACAATTTGCATTGATGAAGAAATCCCATTGAAGACATACTCACCGGCATACAGAATAAACAACAAAAGCATGGTTAAAATTTACTAAAACTTAAAATACTAATGCATAAAATGTAGTATTTGTCCATATTTCACACAGAGAGCAGGTTGATTGGTGACTGTTCCACTACGACTGTCGTAACCCTGTGTTACAGTATTATATAAATCTAAATATGTTAGATAAATACTTACTTTACCTCATGGTGATGAGCAAGGTAATATGCACATTTCCATGAGGTAAGGTAAGTTAAAAATTGGGAGTTACAGCCACATTAGGGCTGTGATCACTTTGTGGAATAGAACCCAGGGCCTAGATCTTCGAAGCTCTCTTATCGCTAAGATAGTCGGAAGTTAATGTTAATGTATGGTGCTTGTGCAGTCTTCAGAAGAGTAGAGGACTAGGAGTGTCAAGAGAAACTAGGCAATTGTTCCAACACTCAATACAGTGCGCTGAACGTTGCACTTCAACAGAACCGAAGGTTGCACTACAACAGAACCGAAGGTTGCACTACAACAGAGCTGGAGGTTGCGCTACAATGGAGCTTGAGGTTGCACTACAATGGCTGAAGTAGCACTTACTACTATCTTAGCGCTAAGAGAGCTTCGAAAATCTAGGCCCTTGACCCGGTTGTATCAAACTTTAATAAGGCTTTAATCGTTAATTAAACTATGATTAGTTAATCACTGATTATCTTCAGTTGCATGAAATCCTTAACAAAGGAATCCCTTTATTAATCCATCATTAAGCTAATGAAGGTTTGGGGGTATCATTAACTCATCATTAGCTGTATCAACATGGCAGACGACATACTGTACCATCAACTTCGACATCGGAGAAAAGAGAAATATTTTCGTGAAGGGATTAATTAACCCCCACCGGGTGCCACAGGGACATATATGTCCTTCCTCTTTATATAACCCTCACTTTGAATTTCAATAACATTCTATATATATCACATATTTATATACAAATATACTTCACAGTTTTGAATTCTGCAGGAAATTCCCTGTTTCTTGATACCATCCACTGTTAAATCAGACAAAACTAAAATGCTTAAAATAACCTTTCAAAATAGACTTTGTCGTGTCGCCATTTTTGACACAATATGTAATCGCGATTCAGAGAGTTATTTGCTGTAAGTTTTGAAATGTGAAAATTTGACAATTACTGGGAATATAGAATTTCAAAATAGCATAGCAATGATCACTGATATCAGTTTTCATAAAATCACTAATGGGGCGGTGGGTAGCCTAGTGGGTAGCGTTGCTCACTCGCCACCGGAAGGCCGGTTCGATTCCCTAAATGGGTCAAATGTTTGAAGCCCATTTCTGGTGTCCCCCGCGTGATATTGCTGGAATATTGCTAAAAGCGGCGTAAAATCAAAATCACTCACTCACTAATGATAATTCTGAAACGTTGCCGATGAACCTAGAATCGGTTGGGATGTTTTCGAAAAATACACTTACACAAATGCCGAAGTGCGTTTTCCGCCATATTGGATTCTGTTTACAAAATCACGTTTCGCTAAGGCCGTTTTTGAGACGCCTATTACATCACGTATATTTCATATTCAGCTGCAAGAAATACACCACTGAATTCCCTATACATTTTGGAATCAAATTACAAATGGTCTTTGTCACCAATACCAACTGTCTAGATGAAATGAAACAAAAGATATTGGGGTGAAAACGAACATTGTACTCGAAAGATTGCACTTGTTTGAAATGTAAACAAAGAAAAAATCTGATTTTACACTGTGTAGCATTTTCTGGAATTGTCTGACACCGAGCCGTCCATTCTTTGCTTGCAATGGCTCAATATCTTTAGAATATGCATGGAAAGAGTATCGTGCCAAGAAACAGGAAATAAAAAACAGATACAATGCAATGACTTGATAATTCATAAGAATTTATCAAGGTTTCCGTGCAGCAGGACACCATGACTGATGCAAAATAACGCAAAACGACAACGGTAATTATCAGCATTTCTGGCTTCTTCTCTTATTTATCCAATGAAAACTATAAAAACATATAACAATACACAGAGAGTCAGAATAATTCTGATTACGTACATCACATATTTATGTACAAATGATCCCTGAATCAAGGGAAGAGTCCTCGCCAAATCCTGTGTACCCTTGTAACCATTTTGTAAGAAATCGGTCAGCGATAGTGATGTCATACGTCAACCTTGTTGCACATATTAGGCAATTTCTTTGAGGTGAAGGTCGGCTGAACAAGAGTAAACACAATCGCCCTATCCTTCCGATTACACTGTCAGTATTATGATGTGTATTTTGCGTATAGTTCAGATACTTTTCCATGAAACTGACTTCAGTATCTACATTTAGTTTTGTTCAATATCATATCATACGTGGATATAGGGTATACATTCTATATTTTTTGAAATTTTTCGATTGTTTGAATAATATTTACATAAGAAATTGACACATTTAGTGTAGTAGACCATATTCTGTCTGAAAACACTTTTTATTTGCATTTTGAAACATGTTATTCCATTTTGTATTGATTTCTTTGGACGTTCTATTGCTTACCCCAATGCTATTGAGCTCAGATATTATTTTGTCCCATATCTGCTTCTTTTTGTCATTGGGGCGGTGGAGTAGCCTAGTGGTTAAAGCGTTGACTCGTCATGCCGAAGACTCGGGTTCGATTCCCCACATGGGCACAATGTGTTAAGCCCATTTCTGGTGTCCCCCGCTGTGATATTGCTGGAATATTGCTAAAAGCGGCGTAAAACTAAACTCAGTCAGTCAGTCTTTTTGTCATTAGTAATGGAGTTAGTCAGTTTGCTGTTTAACACACTGATATGATCTTCAACTAGGCCTGTATTTCACAACTTTCAAAGTTTTTACTGCGATTTCTGACGGCAGCCATTATGCAGACTATAGATGAGTGCTTACCTGCAATGCATCATGGATAATAATTAGGGGATTCCCCTAAGTTAATCATGGTTTAATGACGGGACCTTTGTTAGAGGCATACTTAGTTGATGGGTGTTTAAATAAGAGTTTATACAACCGTATTTAAACACTTCATTAACTAATCAAACATTAAGAATTTAATCAATGATTAGTGTTTAATTGATGATTACATAATTACGTGTTGATACAACCGGGTCAATGCCTTGTTTAGAACATGCTTCACGGTGTGGATTTGATCCAATATGAATTATGGTATAATTTACACCTTTTTTGAAAGAAGATCATATCTTAACCATTATGTTATTACATTTTTAGTCTGCTGTTGTGTGTTTGATGTGCTGCATATTAATACCTGTGTATTACAACTATCTAGTTACAGAATACCATGTGGGACAGCTGCATTATATGTAATGTGTAGGTTACAGATACCTAATTATCCATTATGTAAGATGGAGTTTCAGTATATGCTGCCTGTTGCCCAGGTTACAGATACCTAATTATCCATTATGTAAGATGGAGTTTCAGTATATGCTGTCTGTTGCCCAGGTTACAGATACCTAATTATCCATTATGTAAGATGGAGCTTCAGTATATGCTGTCTGTTGCCCAGGTTACAGATACCTAATTATCCATTATGTGAGATGGAGTTTCAGTATATGCTGTGCCCAGGTTGCTAATTATCCAGGTAACAGATACAGATACCTAATTATCCATTATGTAAGATGGAGTTTCAGTATATGCTGTCTGTTGCCCAGGTTACAGATACCTAATTATCCATTATGTAAGATGGAGCTTCAGTATATGCTGTCTGTTGCCCAGGTTACAGATACCTAGTTGGGGAATAGCATGAAGGGGGGCTGCAAAAAATGCTTGTGGCCTTGGTCAAAATTCCTTGTTGTGGAATACTTTTGGGGAGAAACGCTATAGAAGGAGCTGCAGTAATGAAATTTGCATGTATGTGTGTTGCCACAACTAGTTATGGAATACTTCAAAGGGGTGTTGTAGCATACATAAAATATGTTGCCATGGTTACCAGTAACTAGTTATGGAATACATTTAATGGGAACTGAGTTTGAGACTGCACATTGCCTTAGTTACCGGTAACTTGTTTGGCTGTTACAATGATGTGTATTTGGTGAATCTAATCATAATCCTTCATGAATTCAGTTCATTATTCATGGTCCTTAGATTCAAATATTCATGATTTTGTTTTAGAAAGAATATATTATATAATTTAAAGTTATCTGTTATTTATCATAGCAAGATATGCAAAATGGAAAAACTACAAGCCATACAGTAGCAGAACTTACGTCACTTTGGGAAGGGTCATGATAGTCATGTTAACCAAAACATTAGCAACAAGCAGCAAGTTGTGACATTGTTGTGATACATAAACACTGTCAGCATGGTCAGACTGTGTGATACATACATAACATATTTGCCTCACTGTGTATCCCATGCATCGCTAGTATCTTGTTACAGAAAACTCTGAACTGGTTCCAATGAGCTGCAGTAGTAGGCGTTACCTTGGCTACGGCATTGTGGGTACTTGGTATGGAATACTGTGTGGAGGAGCTGCAGTATATATAAACTTTGTTACCTTGGTTACCGGTGCCTGGTTATGGAATACCATGTGGAGGAGCTGCAGTATATATACATGTTACCATGGTTACAGGTACCTGGTTATGGAATACTGTGTGGAGGAGCTGCAGTATATATAAACGTTGTTACCTTGGTTACAGGAACCTGGAGGAGCTTTGGAATACTGTGTGGAGGAGCTGCAGTATATATATAACATGTTGTTACCTTGGTTACCTCGGTTATGGAATATTGTACATGGAGGAGCTGCAGTATATATACAGGTTACCCGGTGTCCTGGAGGAGCTGCAGTATACATGTATATGGATGTTGTTACCTTATACACCTGGTTGTAGAATGTTACCTTGTATATATACATGTTGTTACTGGTTATGGAATACTGTATTGGGTGAGCTGTAGTATATATACATGTTGTTACCTTACGGTGTCTGGTTAGGGAATACTGTGTGGAGGAGCTGCAGCATACATGTATATACATGTTGTTACCTTGATTACAGGTAACCTGGTTATTGTGGAGGCAGTATATATACATGTTGTTACCTGGTTACAGGTACCTGGTTATGGAATACTGTGTGGAGGAGCTGCAGTATATATACACGTTGTTACCTTGGTTACAGGAACCTGGCTTGGAATACTGTGTGGAGGAGCAGTATATATAAACGTTGTTACCTTGGTTACCGGTGCCTGGTTATGGAATACTGTGTGGATGAGCTGCAGTATATATACATGTTGTTACCTTGGTTACCGGTGCCTGGTTATGGAATATTGTGTGGAGGAGCAGCAGTATATATACATGTTGTTACCTTGGTTACAGGAACCTGGCTTTGGAATACTGTGTGGAGGAGCAGCAGTATATATCAACGTTGTTACCTTGGTTACCGGTGCCTGGTTATGGAATACTGTGTGGATGAGCTGCAGTATATATACATGTTGTTACCTTGGTTACAGGTACCTGGTTATGGAATACTGTGTGGATGAGCTGCAGTATATATACATGTTGTTACCTTGGTTACAGGTACCTGGTTATGGAATACCTGGTTATGAAATATTACCTTGGTTACAGGACCTGAGAATAGCATATCGTATATGCATGTTGTTACCTTGGTTACAGGTACCTGGTTATGGAATACTGTGTGGATGAGCTGCAGTATATATACATGTTGTTACCTTGGTTACAGGTACCTGGTTATGAAATACTGTGTGGAGGAGCTGCAGTATATATACATGTTGTTACCTTGGTTACAGGTACCTGGTTATGGAATATTGTGTGGGTGAGCTGCAGGAAATGCTGGAGAAAGCCCCAAAGAAGAAGCTCCCTTTGTGGCAAGCACATAGGTGAGAAGTTTGCTTCCCATAGATTGTATCACCCGTATGGTTTCAAGGAAACAATTGTTGATACACACGATACAGTCTGCTGTCAGTAGGTGGCAGCTTTCACATGTTTAAGGAATGAGCTAGAAGTATCTATCTGGAATTCCACCACAGTTCCATTGTAAACAACATGCAATTTCATTTGCACAGATGCAGTATGTTACTTCATATAAACATTATCATTATAGTGTCTCATGTAATCCAGCTATTGTCAGTAATGTATACATAGCTAGATGTCTGCATTGTTAGGTGTGTAGGTGGTGTATTGCCATTTATTACCAATGACGGCAAACATATAAGGTATTGTTCATACGATGCGCAAGGGCAAAACATCACTTTACGAGGAAGTGTTCCATGTCAAACCGATTTTGAAGGGAATTACTTTTTTCATTCATGAAATTTTACTATGCTTTAGTAGATTCATTCACATATTGGCATTTTGGTCCAGATTCACTTGCAATATCATTACTTCCTTAAGTGGCATTTCTGTATCACAACAAGCCTCATGTCAACACACTGTACATCAACCTCTTCTATTGTATAAACTCAAATACCCACCATGTATATATTTCTCCTTGTGCATATGTTGTGTATCATTTGCTTGATAACAGTGTTAGGATCTACACCGAAATGTCGCATCCACTGCAATAAAGAATTTGTCTATCCATAAAAAGTGTTATTAAAACAAGGTTGTTTAACTGAGTATGTTTTTCAGTCATAATAATTAAGCCCAACTCCTGCTATTACACCCTACTGCTGCTAAATTAAACCCTACTGCTTCTTTGTTACAAATTACTGCTACTTTATTACACCCTGTTGCTACTTTTTTTACTCTCTTTTACTATATTATACACTACTGCTCCAGAATTACTCCCTTCTGCTTATGAACTGCCCCAATACCCCAATTGTTGCTTTATTACACCCTGCTGACTTTATTACCCCATAACGCGCTTTGCTTTGGGGGTATTAAAATGGACTCTGTCCGTCCGTCCGTGTGTGCGTCCATGCACATTTGTCTTTTCCGGAGCATAACTCTAAAACAGTTTAGTATTTCTTCACCAAACTTGGCTCATAGATCGATCTGGTGGTCTACTGGTGCCTTTTGGTAGTTTTGGATTTCTGAATAAAATATGTTTTTGCATTTCCATGGCAAAAGTTTGACTTAGACTGAAATTGGTGGTAGTACTCTTTTTCCAGAGCAGAACTCTAAAACCGTTCACTATTTCTTCACCAAACTTGGCACATAGATAGATCTGGTGGTGAACTGGTGCCTTTTGGTAGTTTTGGATTTCTGAATATAATATATTTTGCATTTCCATGGCATCAAGTTCGACTTAGACTGAAATTGGAGGTAGTGCTCTTTTTTGAGCAGAACTTTGAAACCTTTCAGTACTCTCCTTCCACTTAGCTATATACATGCCAGCACATTTGACATAGTCATAACTCGTAGACATATTCATTAAAAGTATTTTGCCATTGCAGTGGATATTGATGACTTTGTCTTCTTGTTCCACCTACTTTTACTTTGTTAAACCCCGTTGCTACTTTTTTTTTCATCCCTATTCCTACTTTATTACACACTACTGCTACTATATTACCCCTAACTGCTACTTTATTACCCCTAACTGCTGCTATATTACCCCTAACTGCTACTTTATTACACACTACTGCTACTATATTACCCCTGCTACTTTATTACACTTAACTGCTGCTTTATTAAATATTAGCCCTAACCGCTACTTTTTTACACACTACTGCTACTATATTACCCCTTACAGCTACTTTATTACCCCTTACTGCTACTTTATTACCCATAACTGCTACTTTATTACACACTACTGCTACTTTTATTACACACTACTGCTGCTATATTTACACACTAACTGCTATTTTATTACACACCTGCTACTTTATTACACACTACTGCTATTTTATTACACAGCCCTACACGCTTCATTATTACACACTACTGCTACTTTATTACAGACTACTGCTATTTTATTACACACTTACTGCTTCTTTATTACACACTACTGCTACTGTATTACTTACTTCTTCTTTATTACACACTACTGCTACTTTATAACACACCTACTGCTACTTTATTACATACCCTGCTACTGTATTACCCCTTACTGCTACTTTATTACACACACTGCTACTTTATTACACACACTAACTGCTACTTTTTACACACTACTGCTACTTTATTACCTTTACAGCTACTTGTATATTACCCCTTACTGCTACTTTATTGCCCACTACTGCTACTTTATTACACACTACTGCTTCTGTATTATTACCCCTAACTGCTGCTATATTATTACAAAACTGCTACTTTATTACACACTACTGCTACTTTATTACCCTGCTACTGCTATTACACTTTATTACACACTATTGCTCTGTATTTCCCTAACTGCTACTTTATTACACACTACTGCTACTTTATTACACACTACTGCTACTTTATTACACACTCACACCACTGCTACTTTCCTACACACTACTGCTTCTTTATTACCCTCACTGCTACTTTATTAAGACACTGCTACTTTATTACATACCACTGCTTGTGTATTACTTTCCCTTACTGCTACCTTTATTACTGGACTACTGCTACTTTATTACACACTGTGCTACTACTGTATTACACACTACTGCTACTTTATTACACACCACTCTCTACTTTATTACATACTCACTGTTTGAGTATTAGCCCTTACTGCTGCTTTATTACACACTACTGCTACTTTATTACACACTACTGCTACTTTATTACACTTTATTACCTCACTGCTGCTTTATTCCAATATTAGCCCCCACTGCTACTTTATTACACACCACTGCTACTTTATTACACATTTACTGCTACTTTATTACATACCACTGCTACTGTTATTACCCCTTACTGCTACTTTATTACACACTACTGCTGACATACCCCTTACTGCACACTTTATTACACACTACTGCTACTTTATTACACACCACTTTTTTATTACACACTACCTACTTTATTACATACCCACTGCTTATTACATGACAATCATTACTGCTCTTTATTACACACCACTGCTACTTTATTATTCTATTACACTGCTACTTTATTACACACCACTACCATATTATTACACACTGCTACTTTGTGTATTACACACTCACTGCTACTCTTTATTACACACTCACTGCTACTGTATTACACACATCTACTGCTACTTTATTATACACACTACTGCTACTTTATTACATACACTGCTACTGTATTACACACAATGCTTGACTGCTTACTTTATTACACACTACTGCTACTTTATTACACACTCACTGCTACTTTACTCACACACTCACTGCTACTGTAATTACACTTACTGCTACTTTATTACACACCACTGCTACAGTATTACACACTCACTGCTACTTTATTACACACTACTGCTACTTTATTACACTACTACTGAGTACACTACTGCTACTGTATTACACACTACTGCTACTATATTACACACTCACTGCTACTTTATTACACACTACTGCTACTTTATTACATACTGCTGCTGTGTATTAGCCACTACTGCTACTTTATTACACACTCACTGCTACTGTATTACACACTACTGCTACTGTATTACACACTACTGCTACTATATTACACACTACTGCTACTGTATTACACACTACTGCTACTATATTACACACTACTGCTACTATATTACACACTACTGCTACTGTATTACACACTACTGCTACTATATTACACACTACTGCTACTATATTACACACTACTGCTACTGTATTACACACTACTGCTACTATATTTACATTACACACTGTATTACACACTACTGCTACTATATTATTACACTACTGCTACTGTAGTATTACACACTACTGCTACTATATTACACACTCAACTGCTGCTACTGTATACACACTACTGCTACTATATTACACACTACTGCTACTGTATTACACACTACTGCTACTGTATTACACACTACTGCTACTGTATTACACACTACTGCTACTGTATTACACACTACTGCTACTATATTACACACTACTGCTACTGTATTACACACTACTGCTACTGTATTACACACTACTGCTACTGTATTACACACTACTGCTACTATATTACACACTACTGCTACTGTATTACACACTACTGCTACTGTATTACACACTACTGCTACTGTATTACACACTACTGCTACTGTATTACACACTACTGCTACTGTATTACACACTACTGCTACTGTATTACACACTACTGCTGCTTATTACACACACCGCTACTGTATTACACACTACTGCTACTATATTACACACACTACTGCTACTGTATTACACACTACTGCTACTATATTACACACTACACTGCTACTTTATTACACACTACTGCTACTGTATTACACACTACTGCTACATTATTACACACACACTGCTACACTGCTGCTGTATTATTACACTACTGCTACTGTATTACACACTACTGCTACATTATTACACACACTACACTGCTACTGTATTACACACTACTGCTACTGTATTACACACTACTGCTACTTTATTACACACTGCTGCTACTGTATTACACACTACTGCTATATTACTATTACACACTACTGCTACTGTATTACACACTACTGCTACTGTATTACACACTACTGCTACATTATCACACACTACTACTACTGCTACATTATCACACACTACTACACTGCTACTGTATTACACAATACTGCTACTGTATTACGCACTACTGCTACTTTATTACACACTGCTGCTACTGTATTACACACTAATGCTACTTTATTACACACAAACTCTTCTGTGTTATGGCCCACTGTAAATGTATCCCATCCAACTGTTGCAGGTACTTCTACCAATTGATGGAGGGCCTAGAGTACCTGCACAGTCAGGGAATCATACACAAGGACATCAAGCCCGGGAACCTGCTGCTCACCACCGATGAAACTCTGAAGATCACAGACCTGGGTGTGGCAGAGGTGGGATACCTTACCAATCTGCTGAAAAGCAATCAGAAACATACACTATTACAGCAATTGTTCGCACTTTGTTAAACAACTGAGTTTGAAGTAATGATTTGAATAGTGCTCAGTTCATGTGTCCATCTTCGTTCTGGTGGTAAATTATTCCTCAAATGTGGCTCCTATGTCTGGAAGGCCCAATCTTCTTCATGTTTGAAGATGTTTTGACCCCTTAATCATAGCGATCGTATTGGTTCATAGACCTGCACAAGATTAGCATGATGAGCTGGTATTAGTCCATTCAGAGCCTTGAATACAAGAGCTGCAGAACCTTGAACTGGAAACATTGTTTCATGGGCAGCCAATCAACACTTGGGTTTTTATGGTCGAACTGCTTGTTTCTTGTGATAAGTTTGGTGGCACAATATTTATCTTCTTGAGTTTGGTGATAGGATACTCGCTCAGACAGTAAAACCAAGCATTGCAGTAGTCCATAACAGAAATTACATAGTCCAGTACTAAGGTTGCAAATGAATTCCTGTCTTGATAAATTTGTTAAGCTGATGTTGCATAGATGGCACTATGCATTCTAGCACACTGAGTTGACTCTGTGTTTAAGATAGGTATCAGTGATGATAATGCCTGTATCCTCTGCAACAAAGAAATAGAAACTTTAGAACATTTATTTTATTTCTGTGAAAAACAAAACACCTTCTCACAACATTTGTTGAGTGGTATCGATACAAAACTAGCTGTAATATAAGTATAAATGTTAAACATTTCCTGCTAGAGACCCGAGGCACCTGTCCTTATTAACCATCTGTTTATCATTATCAAGAAATATATTAACAAAACAAGATATGACTTCACGGAATTAAATATCAACCAACTTATATATTTTCATAAAAAATACCATTTCAAACTAGAAGAACATATTTTCGGAGAAAAGGATGAAAATTTCAGATGAAATGGAATTCTTTTGTTCCCTTGTGAGTAAAAAAAAAACCTTTCTGCACCCTGTGTCTATACTGCTATCCTTCTCTTTCAAACTCCTCCCGTTCTGAAAAATTACAAAATATTCACCTTTGATTTTACGATTGTACGCTTATAATTTTGTTTTTATAGTTTTTTCATAACCAGCAATGTATATTATATGTCATGAATGAATAAAAGTACTATTATGCTCAAAAAAAATTTAAAAAAAAAGACATGTGCTTCCAAATTGAAAGCAGAATAGAAAATTATACCAAGATATCTTGGCTTTGTCACACTCCCCTTTTTGACAATTGAAGCTACTTATATATGACCGAACTATAAGTCGGGCCTTCCTTTCAACCTCTAAATTCTTGCCAAAACCATGTAACTTCCCGCAAGGGTAACGGGGATATTGTTGATGTTCAGAGCTTTTTGAACGATGCCCGACATCAAACGATTAAGCCTCGTTATGTTATTCATAAGCTTCAAAACGGAGGTATTTTTCGGGTTGTTGTGTCATGTTACCGAGTTTAAAAGCCACTGATATCGGGGAAATAGGCAACCATACATATTATTTAAGAAATCTTTATAATAATTTTCTGATTACGTTAAAAATGAAAATATAAAAGAAAAGTCACGGGCATGTTATGACATGTCACAAAATGAACAAAATTCGCCATAGTTTTGCTTCTTTTTGGTTTATCTGGACATTATAAATGTAAACTTGCATTTTCATCATTAACAGTACTTTTTCAAAACCACCACACAAACTGCCACAGAATACAAATAAGTTTTACTTTTACGCGGAAACAAGTCGTGGTTTCAAGTTAAGTGTCACGCGGGGCCCAACTTTATCGCTTTCGATAACAAAGTACCGGTAGGGTACATAGCTGTGATCAAAATATCTGATTAAATTTAATTTATTGTTTATACTATGAAATATATTTTACAAAAAGACAAACAACAAAGTTTTATATTTTATGTTTTATTTGTCCCACGATGTCATTTACCTTTGGAAACGCTTGTCAGTAATGTGATATATGCTTCCTGCTTCCGGTGTAAACTTTGCCAGTTGAGTTCTCGTGAGAGGGCTGGCAGATTCACACACCTGACCTCGGAATTGTTTGGGTAGATTAATGAACTCAAGTATAAGTCGGGTCTGATTTTTAACTACATTTCTGGTATCAAATTTCCGAATTTATAGTCGGTCATATACGGTATATATCTTGCCATCTTCTTTGATAATAAACTCAGCAGCTCAGTCTTGTCATAGCTGAGTTTGAGGAAGTTCTCACTCATCCACTTCTAGATGTGACACAGGCTGCTGTTACAGTGTAAAACACTAGTTTCAACAGACATCTTCTAATTGAGTGGTTTAAAGGAGATATGCATAAGGCTGTTATCTGAGTAAAAGTGGAAGCAACCGATTATGAGAGTATTACATCTGCTGTTTTGGTTCATGCTGAGATTGGTTACAGCATTTGATTGACATGACTGAAACTTGTTGCACAAAGCTCAGAACTTGGAGGAATCAGCTTGAATTTGTTTGGCAATATAGCGGATATATTTCAAGCTACTTTACTCTGATTATTCATATAGCAATGTTTTCAAGCCCACATGGTAAATTAATGAAACATAGAATTCATGGATGGAAGAAAGTGATCCGCGAAAAGCACAAGTATTGTGTAAGATGCATTGTTGCCTAAGATTTGAGACTGATGCTATAAAGTGTTCATAATTAAAGCATGAATGTCCATTGTTAAAAGTTACAGGTTTTAGGAGTCCCATGAATCAAGTAGAATGATCCACAAAGGAAACTCTTAAATGGCAGGTTTCAGAATCTTGACCCTTTAAAAGATTATGTACACAAATTGTGAAGTAGCACTGAGATGCATATTTGCAGTTATGATCACCACATTTCAAGGAATGATGAAAAAACAGCCTCAATAACACAATCAGCAGAAAAGATAAGAAAACGAGAACTTACATTAAAAATATTGTGTGTGACCACCATGGGTTGTTGAGTATCGACATGCAACGACGTTGTACCAAGTGCAGTGGACTGTCGAAGTCTATGTTAGTTTAGGGTATGGGAGTCATCTTAGTGCTCAGATCACAATGCTGTTCGGCTGATCATCACGCTGATGACCCGGGTTCGATTCCCCACATGGGTACAATGTGTGAAGCCCATTTCCGTGTCACCTTACTGCATTATTGCTGGAATGTTGCTAAAAATGGCATAAAATCTTACTCACTCACTTTTGTACACCAATGCCCTTGTCTTTAGATGATAGGGTCACAAGCCGAGGTCATCTCTTTGAAGCATGTTATATACAAGGGTAAGTGTCAGTATCCTGGACTAAGGTACGCCATTTGGCAGTGTCCACTCATCACCCCAACAGTTGCTGCCAGATTACGGATCGGAAACATATTTTGTGATGTAAATATTTCATTTTCCATTGCAGAAAATAGATGTATTTTCCAAAGATGATACTTTGCAAGACAAGTCAAGGTTCGCCAGCATTCCAACCCCCAGAGATAGCTAATGGTGATGATTCCTTCGCTGGCTTCAAGGTGGACGTGTGGTCGTCAGGGGTAACATTGTAAGTTGCATGGTATTATACCAGAGCCATAATGATGTACACTGTTTGGATTCTGGGTAAAATAGGTCCCTAGCAACCATTGCTCATGTTGCTGGTCCTAATGGATCAGAGGATCAAACTTGGTGAATTAACTTGTCGCTACTATAGGCACATTATAGTTTACAAAGATATCCATCAGTGACCACAAGAACAATTACTGGATTGCTTTGTCCAGACTATTATATAGGTCACTGCCATATAACTGGAATATTGCTGAGTGAGGCATTCAACAAAAGTCTGTAACTGATGACTTAGAACAAAAGATTCCTTCTTAGATGATTTATGATATACCTGCTGAAATATTGTCTTGAAATTAATTTGAGAATGAGATGAGGTTCATACTTGTAGTAATAGAACTTTATAGTTTTGTTTAAAAGTGAGTGAGTGAGTTTAGTTTTTCGCAGCACTCAACGATATTCCAGCTATATGGCTGCAGTCTATAAATAATCAAGTCTGGACCAGACAATCCAGAGATCAACAGCATGAGCATCGATCTACGCAATTGGGATACAATGACGTGTTTGTTCAAAAGAAAAAGTACCAGAAAATACCAACTTACATCTAACAGCAAGCAAAGCTCTGTTCAACATCATGGTTTATTGAGCAGCAGATTTAACTAGTATATATCAGTAACAATATGTCATTCAAACATGACTGTGGTTGAGAGTTCTACTGGTGTCAAACGAGGCATCAATAACTGCATCAAAGGCTGACACGACCCAGCACATGTGGAAAGGCTCCATCGGATCTACAGCATTTGTCTTGTCTGTCTTTTGTTGATATTTTCTCCATGTACCAATCAGTTAAGTAGTGTTTTATCACGGTTTTAAATGGTTCTCCTGTGGAAGTACTCTAGTCTGCTCAAATAAGCAGAGCTATTTGCTGTTTGATTGGATCGATTTCAGTGAGTGAGTTTAGTTTTATGCCGCACTCAACAATATTCCAGCTATATGGCGACAGTCAGTAAATAATCAAGTCTTTGATCCAGTGATCAAAAGCATGAGCACCGATCTATGCAATTGGGAGACGATGACATGTACCAACCAAGTCAGCGAGCCTGACCACCCGTTCCCATATTTCAAAGCTTACAGTAAACAATAATGCCTTGCTTTTTGCAGGAAAGGAGTTAATTGTATGTTTCCTGGTAGCGGAGCTAGCCGTTTATAACATAATGTTTCCATTCTTTTGTGTTCATCCAGAAGATGTACACTTTCTCGTTGTTTGTTCTTCCAGGTACAACATAACAACAGGATTATATCCATTTGAAGGTGACAATATCTATAAACTGTTTGAGAATATTGGTAAAGGCCAGTACACAGTTCCTGACACCGTAGATGATAGTTTAAAGGATCTTCTTAATGGTAGGTGTTTGTTTATATGTTGTAACAAATGTGTTTTTCTTTTATTATATTATGAGTCAGATTTGTCTGCTCTAAATTTTCAAAACTTTAAAAATCAAGCTCTGTCATCTTAGGGTGCGAATTCTGCATGCAGAGTTGCTTCCCTTTAGTTTGATATGCCACAATGTTGTTTTGAAATCCAGTTTGTCCCAAGTTATGTTTTTTCATGGTTTCACCAAAATGGTAAATGTCTGCGACCTGCATCACTTTAGGCTTTCCTACCACAAAAAGCTGATATGCTATGATGTAATAGGAATGCTGTTAAAAAACGTCATCAAATCCAACTACTCAACCCACTCAGCGATAAACCTTAATCCTAACTTAACCAGTAGTTACTATTCCATGGTTACATCGAGGACAAGTGCTTTGTATCATAATGGTTACAACATATACAATATGGCACCTGACTGTCACCATCCATGAACAATGCTGATTTTACCTCATGCTGTTAATCACTCCATTCTCTCAGGTGCCAACTTATGGCTGGAGTGTGTATGGCATGAAGAAATTTCATTCAGTCACAGCCATTCATTAAAATTAAATGAATAAGTTTTGTTGTAAGACAGTGTAGAGCAGTTTTTCATCACCCTGATGTTGTATTCAGTTCATTCAGAATCACATGTGATAGGTATTGCACGTCAGTGTGAGATTGTGCTATTTGAAGTCTCATGTATTCGTTTAATTCTGTTGCAGGAATGCTGGCGTACAAAGCCAGTGATCGCTTCAGTATAGCACAGATAAGACAACACCAGTAAGTTGTGAACTGCCAGACCTGAACTGAACACAAACATCTTCATGTGTGAATGTTCTTTCAAAGTACCATGTCAACTACACTTTATAGATTTAACCCTGTTTCAACTTTGCATTCACTCAGGGTGGTGTGCTAGCCTAGTGGTTAAGGTGTTTGCTCATCACTGAAGACCCGGGTTCAATTCCCCACATGGGTCCAATGTGAGAAGCACATTTCTGGTGTCTCCTGCAATGATATTGCTGCAAAATTGCTAAAAGCGGTGTATAACAACACTCACTCACTCATTCAACCCCACTCACTCATTCAACCTCACTCACGCACTCACTCACTCACTCACTCACTCACTCACTACATGCAATATTATCTCCTCCTAAAGTTTATGGCTTGTATTTTTGTGTTTCCCGTAGAAGTATTAAAAAAGCTGGAGAAAAGGTTTATAAAAGGGTTTTCAAAATGACCAGCTCCTTGAGCATGTACAAGTTGCATGGATATGTGCACTATATAAATATCCTATAGTAATAATTATCAATGCAAATTTGATGCTTGTTGGCAGTGATGGTATTTGCTGACAGAATTCTGTTTTACTATGTACGCCCGTCATCAATGATGTGTGGTCTATTTCCAGGTGGTTCAAGCGGAAACATGCCAAGGTTGAGGATCGTGTGTTTTTATCTGCATCTTCGGATGGCGACTTAATGAGGAGTATGACTGTGGTGCCATATTTAGAGGATCTCCACTTTGGTACACCAAGTGAGGAAGAAGAAGATGAAGAACTGGAGAGTGCGGTGGCAGGCAATCATCAAGGTCAAGGTCAGTGTTCAACTTTAAATAGTTGATTAATCCTCTAATTGCTGGTGTTGAACCCATTCAACTGAAGAGTGCCATAAGTATAACTTGCAATAACTATTTGCTAAATAGGATGTACCTAACATCCAAGGCATGCGTAAATGTTCATCTTTCTAAGTATGTGAATTTTAAAAGTATATGTTCCTCAAACAGAACATTCTGCATGTTAAAAACGTATTGGCGTACAACCTCCCACACCCGCCATTGTTGACCTCAGACACTTCATGTTTAGTAGTGAGTCTGTTGTTTTCTTCATGATGAAATCATTTTTTGATAATTTGATCTCTACCTTTTCTGCTCTTGTGAAAGAAAACACTGAAGTTCCTAATTTTCTAAAAATTAGCATCTTTCAGTTGAAATAGTTATAAATAATCTGAATTGTTACATCAAGGACCATGTCAACAGTGGTAAACAAACAACTACACTTGCATCGTGATTCCGGAAAACTATTGTGACCCTTTTATGTTTCTAACTTAATTTGCTAGAATTTATTACATAAATTTAACGTCTTTGTAACAAATTTCTCAAATTAATCAAGTTTGTAAATGATTTCATTTGATAAACCTTCAGACACTGGCAAAGTTGGCAGCCATAGATGACACATGAGGGCATGGCCTAACTCCCGATTGTTTTAATTGAAGAACAGGTTTGACAGGATGTGACATGCATCCTTGTCTTTCATGCTTGATTTGGGCACTGAGACATGTCAGCTGTGGAAACCAGTACTATATCTGCGACATAGTTTGTTATAGCATCAGGATATGTTGTTAGTGGTCCTTGGCACCACATTTCAGAGCAGAGTTGTGTCCCTTGTTATGAGGATCACGATGAGGGTCCTGTCAGCACCACATACGGACAACACCTGTCAAGTGGATAATGTCGGTCATCTGCATCACTTTAGGATTTGTGGCGGTGGGGTAGCCTAGTGGTTAAAGCATTTGCTCGTCCTGCCAAAGACCCGGGTTCGATTACCCACATGGGTACAATGTGTGAAGCCCATTTCTGATTTGACCTGCTGTGATATTTCTGGAATAATGCTAAAAGCGGCGTAAAACTATTCTCACTCACCTCAGGATTTCTTCAAGTACAAAACAGACAGGTAGTGATATCTTTATTCATAGTTATGTTTAACTCCCTCAGTAAGGTTGTGTCTTGTCTTCTGTATTCAGGGGCACTGAATGACAAGCAGGAGGTGACAACAAGACAGACAGAGAACTCCAAGTCCAACTGTAAGCCAAAGAAAAGAAAGGGGAAGAGCTCTAGTAAATTTGCATTTGGATCCTGCAAACAGTCGTGACATCAGCTGTCTAACCTGGTTGTTCATGTTAACTGCTTCTGTGACTTTGTTTAGCATCGCTCAGCTCCAACTGCTGATCAAGACATCAATGCTAGCAGTGTAAACTGAATCTACATTCAGTCCGAAGATCCGCCTTTGACATCAGTGCCAGCAGGATAAATCAAGCACAGTTCCAAACACTCAAACATCAATACTAGCTGGACAGACTGAATTGATGTTCAGTCCTAACACCTATCTGTTAGCAGCAGTTGTAGCAGTGTACACTGAATTGTCATTCAGTCCTAAGACCTAGCTTTGGCTCACATGCTATCAGAATAGAATTACAACAGTCCTAATATTACTTTTAACATCATTGCTAGAAGGATAGCCAGTGTCTAGCTTTAGATTCAATGCCTGGTGATAAAAACCTGATGAGACATTGGCACCAGCAAGATAGACCGAATTTGCTGAAACAGCTGGAGGGCTTTACATTATGTCATTGCTAGCATTATTGTAGGAAGAAATACCTAGGGCACTGCAAATTAAAATCTTAAATATATACTTGTATCAAATCAAAAGATTTGACCACTAGTACGTTTTAGTCAGCATATGTCAAAGTTGGCATTTTTGTTCAAGAGATGTTGCCTCGTGGACCCAGTATGTGTGTGTGCAAGAGAGAGAGAGATAAGTGGAGAGAAAGAAAGTGAACATATCAGTATGATTTTATGATATGTGATAGATAAAACTGAGGCTGAATCTGTCTCTGAACCCACCATGTTATTGTGGAGATGATTGTACTGTGATGATCAGTGCTTGTAGGTCAGTGACTGGACTGAATGTGATAACATGCCTCCTGGTATATACAAGAGCATGCTGAGGGTAAGGTTGGTCAGTACCTCTCCATGATACTGTCAGCTATTTGTGACTACTGGTGATGCCACCATGGGCAGAGTGTGTCGGACTGATCATGTGGAATGTAAGGTTCCCTCTGATGATGGAGATATACTAAATTCACCAAATTGTTATGTGATGTCTCTCTTCATATTATGAAAGTAACCGTCAACCAGACCAAAGGAGGTAACTGATGTTAACTGATATTTGTTGCTCTGTTAGATATCCAATCGTCATGTTTAGGACGGAAAGGATTGGAGCAGAATATTTTGGTCATTGAGTTGTCAAAGAGAGAGGTCAAAGGCAGGATGCCAGCAGAGCAGTATGTCAGAACGACATGTTCAGACGAGTGTCATCGTTCGGGGTACAGCCACTGGACCTGTGATGAAGAGCTAATGGCAAGCTTGACTGAAGCTCAGAATCAGAATCAGAATCAAAACAAAAGTCTGAAACACTTTGACGAAGGGAACACTGAAGTTTGTTGTCAATATGTTCTCCTATGTTAATGTTAAGGACATAAGATTGGGAAATTTTATTTATGGACCAGTCTGTTTTATGAATGAAATTATATCATAAATATATTTAAAACAAGTTATTCTGTGTTTTGGTTTTTGGTGTAAAGGTGTGCCTGGAGAAGGAGGACTATAAAATCTGAAAATGGATGTTTAGAAAGTCGTACATATTCTGCAAAATATATACAATATACACACATCAAACAACCTAATTGTGACAGAAAACATCCTTAAAAAATAATATGCTTCATGTAGCTTCAGCCGTAGGTTAGATGGTGTTGTTCAAGTCAGCATGAACCTCATGAAGCAGCCATGTTTTGTCATGACCCAAGGCAGTTGACCCTGGCCCAGTCTAAAGCTTTGCTGATTGACTGAAATATTGGTGGTTTGTTTGTTAGTTTTGTTTGTTTTAATGCCATTAATTAATTCTCACCAATATGCCATCCACAGCAATCTGGAATAATAACGTTTTGACCAATGCGGATGAGCATTGATCTACATCACTGGGATGGAATATCACTCATCAATCAAGTCCCCTGGTCTGATTACAAAAAACATGCCACAAGTTGCCTGGTGTGACAAGTATGGTTTGGTAAGCCAGGTTCCAAACCTAGGTGAAAAATAGCTGGTAAAGATTGCAGTTCATCAGCAGTCCCTTGTGCATTGTTGTTTGTTTTAAATATATGGGGGTGCTCATGGATGGCCCAGTCGCAATGCGGCGCCACAATTTGCTGTGCAGTGTTATGTCCCTTGGGCACCCTGGTGGGTTTCTTCTTTCTCCATGGTAATAACCGGGTTCTTCATTGAACGTAATTGGTTCTGCGATGAGTATGAGCTTGTGATGACGCGACTGTCATGCATCGCTATTTTTAAAACAAGTTAAAACTGTGTACAGGTGTGTTAGAGATCCTGGCTGGACCAGCTTCTTGCTGGCACTTCTGAGAGGCCAGACTGGAACTTGGTGATGGTTTATGAAGCTCCCCGTACAGGTCTTTGTTAATACCGACTTCTACGTGCTGGATCTTGTGTAGCGCACAGAGTCTATATATATATATATCGTCAGTGTTGGAGGCCACCCCAGTGTAGGTTCCTAACATTTGGGTGACACAGCCAGGTGTCTTACTGTGGTAGTCATTCTGGACTGCTTCCAGTGAATTGATTTCATTGAGGCAGTAGGGATCCCACACAGTGGACGCATATTCCAGGGCTGGTCTGACAATGGTTGTGTAAGTTTTGATTTTTGTTTCAGGTTTATTACAGGGTTTGCCAACATTCGTAAGTTTCCTTGAAGAAAAAAGCTCACAGACGAAAAAGCCAGTGTCTCTCGCCTGGCAAGTTAGTTAGATTCTGTAAGGGCAGGGTTAAGTAATGGGTTTGTAGACGATAACAGAACAGCCAGGTGAGGGCTAGGACTAACAACTAGTCTCTGAAATGAACATATTTTACTGAAAAGTTCATAGTAAAAAAATATAAAATATAATGAAAAGGAGTCCTGAGACTTTCTTTCATTTTCAGCTGAAGCTGAGGAAATCAAGACTTGCCACATTTTCTAGACTTGTGTGGGCTTTCTTGGATATATTTGCTTCAGGGTCTGTACGACGACAGACTAGCGAGGGGCTAGGGGAGGTACCAATTAGTGGCTTGTAAACAACAGGGCATAGAGGAACGGGGCTAGAGGAATGATGCCATTCCTCTTCACTAATACTACTTGGATATGACTCCAAACGCATAATTCAGTGTGATGGATGTAATGCCCTTATCTCGACTGAACATGCGTGAATACCCAGTTCGCAAATTCTATTTAAATGTGCATTTAGTACATTTGCTGGAGATGTAATTTCACATTTCATGAAGTTGATATGTTTGTTTGCTCTTATTAAGTGTATTTTGTACAATGTGATATATTATCAAGGCCATACAAGACCGCCAAACTTTCATGACAGAGCCTCGCTTTTTTGAGATTTCCGCTGATTTCCGTTTGTCAGAGCACGCTGTACGACAGAGCACGCTGCATGACGGTTTGCAAGGATTAGAAGGAGCGTAGTGCTGCAATATGCAAGTGATTAGATGTATCAAACAATGCTGATTAATGCTTTATATATCCAGTTGATTGAGTTGGTGTCAAAATTCTGGACTGGTTATTGTACTATAAGTTGCTCAACAGGACGGAACCCAGTCAGCAGGAAAAGACTTACAAAAAGTGTAGCTACTCAGATAACCAGACCTGTCACTGGAATGTCAGATAAACCAGACATGTCAGATAACCACTGGAGGTCAGATAACCAGACACGTCACTGGGAGGTTAGATAACCAGACAATGTCACTGGGAGGTCAGATTTTATAACCAGTCAGATAACCAGACTGGAGGTAGATCAGATAACGTCACCGGAGGTGAGATAACCAGACACGTCACTGGGAGGTCAGATAACCAGACACGTCACTGGGGAGGTTAGCTAACCAGACACGTCACACAGGGAGGTCAGATAACCAGACATGTCACTAGGAGGTCAGATAACCAGACACGTCCACTGGGAGGTCAGATAACACAGACACTGTCATTAGGAGGTCAGGATAACTAGACACGTCACTGGGAGGTCAGATAACTAGACATGTCACTGGGAGGTCAGATAACCAGACATGTCACTGGAAGGTCAGATAACCAGACATGTCACTAGGAGGTCAGATAACCAGACATGTCACTGGGAGGTCAGATAACCAGACACGTCACTGGGAGGTCAGATAACCAGACATGTCACTGGGAGGTCAGATAACCAGACACTGTCACTACTCCAATGGAGGTCAGATAACCAGACATGTCACTGGAGGTCAGATAACCAGACACGTCACTGGAAGGTCAGATAACCAGACATGTCACTGGGAGGTCAGATAACCAGACACGTCACTGGAATGTCAGATAACCAGACACGTCACTGGGAGGTTAGATAACCAGACATGTCACTGGGAGGTCAGATAACCAGACACGTCACTTGGAGGTCAGATAACCAGACATGTCACTGGAGGTCAGATAACCAGACACATCACTGGAGGTCAGATAACTAGACATGTCACTGGGAGGTCAGATAACCAGACACGTCACTGATAGTCAGATAACCAGACACGTCACTGGAGGTTAGATAACCAGACACGTCACTGGGAGGTCAGATAACCAGACACGTCACTGGAGGTCAGATAACCAGGGAGGTTAGGATAACCAGACATGTCACTGGGAGGTCAGATAACCAGACATGTCACTGGGAGGTCAGACCAACCCAGACACGTCACTGGAAGGTCAGATAACCAGCGCACATCACTTGGAGGTCAGATAACCAGACACGTCACTTGGAGTTCAGATAACCAGACATGTCACTGGGAGGCTGATCAGATAACCAGACACGTCACTAGAAGGTCAGATAACCAGACATGTCACTTGGAGGTCAGGAACCAACGTCAGACATGTCATTGGGAGAGGTCAGATAACCAGACACGTCACTGGAAGGTCAGATAACTAGACATGTCATGTCAAATTGGAGGTCAGATAACCAGACACGTCACTGGAAGGTCGGATAACCAGACATGTCACTGGGAGGTCAGATAACCAGACACACGTCACTGGAAGGTCAGATAACCAGACACGTCACTGGGAGGTCGGATAACCAGACACGTCACTGGGAGGTTAGATAACCAGACACGTCACTTGGAGGTCAGATATAACGAGACATGTCACTGGGAGGTCAGATAACCAGACACGTCACTGGAGAGGTCGGATAACCAGACATGGTGTCACTGAGAGGTCAGATAACTCAGACATGTCACTCGAAGGTCAGATAACCAGACATGTCACTAAAAGGTCAGACAATCAAACATGTCACTGGGAGGCTGCTGAAACCAGACATTAATCGGTCAATTGTCACTTGACCTTGAAGGCCAAGGTAAAATATATGTTTCCTTTAACGTGGACGATGTCCTTCTGTTCTTGTTTTTGTTGTTTTGTTTTTGTTTTGTTTTGTTTGTTTTCGGGTTTGGTTGGGGTTTTGCTCGGGGATGGGGGGTGGGGGGTGTTTGAGTGAATAGAACTTTTTCCAAGCTTGAACATCATTCCAAAGCTTGGTGACAGATGGCGCCGTCAGAGCAGAGATCCACGCAGTGCAGAACACGTGATCGATTACATGGCCCATTGTAATCCCCATAGAAATAAATTATTGATTTTTACCAAACAGGAATCCATTTACAACTGGAAAATGCTCTGATGTCATCAAATGGCCATGCAGTTAATAAAGAAAGTGTCGTGTGTCTCTCCGACCCTCCGGTCAAATCATGCGTACATGCAAGGACCGCAACGTGGCAAAACATTCAAGAACGTAATCTGGACCTTCAACAAACGGTGTGGACCGCGAGAGGTTTCGATAGTTAAAGATAATGATATCAAGGAGGAAATAAGACACACATGAGGAGGTCACATTGATTATTGTGAACATGAAGGAGCCACCAATGGAACTCTTCACAGTGAAGACAGCACAGGACAGGCTGATGCGCATGTCACGCTATGCAGGCAGCACCAGCGCGACAAGCATGTTCAGAGATAAAGAAGGAGCAGAGGTGAGTAGTTAAAATAGTCAACAAACACGTGAGAGTAGGAGAGTAATCCGTCTCCACAGCACGACCAACGACCATGAACTCCATCCATCTGACGCCATAATCGAACGAACGAAGATGGAAGAAGGAAGACGGAGTGGATGGACCGGTGGCACAAATATCGCCAAAATAAAAATACGAACGACGACGACGGAACCAACACCGGCCGAACAGGTGGCCGGCCGGCACAGCCAACGGAGGAGTGGCCATGGAGGTCAGTGGAGGACCGGCCCATGGCCCAGCCAACGACCACCGGCCGACCCAGCCAACGGCCACACAAGGACAGAGGTGGAGGACACACAGAGGTGGAGGTCAAAAAATAAAAGGAATGGCCACAGGAGGAAGGAAAATGGAAAAGGAGGACCAACGGAAGCCACCCACAGTGGAGGACCAGGAACAGTGGCCGTGGACAAATGGAAGAGGAAGGGACACAGAGGGGTGGCCAGTGGAA